TGTACTCATTTATGCTGTGCACTGTATATATATATATATATATATATATTAATTAAAATAAATTTGTTATATTAATTCAGTCTATGAGGCACATTTGGTGTCAATAATTGTATTTAAAGTAGAATATTTTACATTTAATAAGGCATAAAATATATGGACCTGTCCAGAAAAGATCACTGTAAATACTCACAGTCAATGCGCAGGAAGTCATTGAGAAGCTGAAAGAGAGGGAAGCTGTCCCAGCTGTCTGGAGGTTGGACCTCCAGAGCCGCGTCCATGTCCACAGCATATAGAGAAAGAAACGTCTCGGCATGCTCAACCATCAGATCTGACCACCATGCAAATGCCTGCAGTCAGAGGAAGAGAGACAGAGGCAAGACAAGAGGCAGAAAAAAGGCGGAAATGAAGGCAAAAGTAAAATCAGCCTTGTAATATAGACATTCACTGAAGTTCAGTCCTTTCTCTTATTCATAAGGGCATGACAGTCCACAGATCTATAAAAATTACGCTGGGCTTCAAACAGTTTTTAGATTTATGCCAGACTGTCCAGTAATGTAATTTTTCATCTTTGTGTCTATGGAGCGTCATGAGCTTATCTCATGCATTGAAACTCTCATGCTACTCCCTCTTCTAAAAAGCACAGCTAATGTCTAATTCACATACACTGATTTATATTTAAAGTACATCCTTATTTACTTCACATTTTGCAGATGTGAAGTCCATGCACAGGAATTTATGCCCTTGTAACAAAAAATTCCCAGCATACAACAGCAGCAGTGATTAGCAGCACAATCTCAGTAGTTATTAGTATCATTTCTCGGCTCAAAACAAAATAATTTTAAATACACTCTTAAAAATAAAGGTTTTTTATTTTGGTTCCATGAAGAACCTTTAACATCCATGGAACCCTTCCATTGCATAAAAGATTCTTTATAATAGAAAAAAAGTTCTACATATTCACACCAAGAAAAAAAAAATTCACAGAAAGGTTCTTTGGGGAACCTAAAAAGATTCTATCGCATTACTACGAAACCCCCTTTTTTATTTTTAATAGTGTAATTATGTCTTCTGTAAGTGAGATTCCTCTGCTGCTGATCCAACCGCGCTTCTGTGTGTAACACATCTGGCCTGTAGATATGCACCAAGCATGTTAGACAAATGAAAAGTTAATGTAGATCATGGCTTCCTCTACTTTAAAAAGGCATGCTGTTGTCCCTGACCACTCAAACAAACCTTTCATACCAGTATTTTTGAGACCAGTATAGCAGATTTGCTTTCTTGCAACATCTCTCCACCAAAAAAAACACAGAGAAGTGCATTTGTTATACAGTTTAATATTTGTAGTAGAGCTGGCATGTGAAGCTAGACCAAACCACGCTGAAGGACACAAAACAGAGGAAAGTTTAGATATTATCGTGGTTGTGCAAGGGTGAAAATGAGACCAGACTCATTTTCATTGAGATTTTTTTTTGGAGGGGTCTGCTTCCACAGGTGAAGCACTGTCCCCTTATGCTTGTGGAAACACAAGCAACTTGCTCAACAATCCACAGGGACAGCTGACCAGGGGAAGGATGGGGTGACCAGGCAGAGATGGGGAGGACGAAATTAGGAGTTAAAAGGGGAAATCCCTCCATCCATGGTGCAGGGGCTGTGACATGCACATGGTGGGGGACTCTAGGGTCTACATACCTCTTTACCCTGTCCAAGGTTTTCCAGCCAACAAACAAGTAATGAAAAACAGTGAGAATTACATGAGATTTCCTTTGCTGTGTTTTAGTTTGAGTACTTCATTATCATAAACGCTTTAACATTAAAGAGCTTTAAAATTGGAAAACATTGTGAAAATAGTTAAGAATGACTGACAGTGATCTTGATCAAAAATAATCAAATAATAGAAATAATGTTTAATAATTAATAAAAAGAAAATCTTATGCTTAAGACAGTTTGGTACACTTGTAAAGATTCTAGGTTTTTGAATGTGCAATTGTCACTGATGCTGTAAAAATGACATACTGTACATGTACGTCCATTTAATCCACCAGATTTATTCAATTATGAACATGCAATTTTGCGGCATGATAAATGACTGGACTATGTAAAATACCATAAACAATCCCATGCATTTTAGTGGACATGTTTATTAAAAATGGTTTTATGTGCATATAGGGAAAAAGGGATAAGCCACCCAAAAATGAATAATTCTGGTGAGAAAAGTATGAGTAAAGTATGTTGTTCCAAACATGTAGCCATTTCTGTAGGCAGATATTTTGAATAATCTTTTTGTTCATATAATTAGAGTTAGTGTGGTCCTAACCAACATTGGACCCCACTGACTTTCATTCTATGGACAGCAAACAAACAAACAAACAGACAGACAGAAAGACAAACAAAAAACACTAAGAAAATTCAAAATATCCTCTTTTTGTTCTTAATGACTTTTGGGTGAACTATTCCTTTAATGGTTTAATGAACCTGGCACTAGAAGTGTAAATGGCATTTACAAACCAAACTAAACTAAACTAAGTAACAGACTTGACATAAACCGAAATGAAGATGTATAAATAAGCACAACTGTAGTAATTTTGTCCATTGACTATGATGCCTTCATGTACTCAGTCAATGTGACAGTAATTTCAGTTCAGTTAATTCTGAAGATGAATTGCTGATGCAACACTATCTATCTATCTATCTATCTATCTATCTATCTGACATAAACCGAAATGAAGATGTATAAATAAGCACAACTGTAGTAATTTTGTCCATTGACTATGATGCCTTCATGTACTCAGTCAATGTGACAGTAATTTCAGTTCAGTTAATTCTGAAGATGAATTGCTGATGCAACACTATCTATCTATCTATCTATCTATCTATCTATCTATCTATCTATCTATCTATCTATCTATCAGTTCTGAATTTAATTATTTAATGAACTTAGAATGAACTGAACCGAAATCCACCCTGCAGGTGCCTGACTCCTGATTTGCTATGCCCATGTAATGCCTCTTCCAGGGCAGGTCAGATCATGAGGCTAGCATGCAAGAGCAGGGTATGCCATGGATGAGAGCAAAAAATAAAAAACACTGTACCGCCTGACCTCCCGTACTTGGGCGTGTGGCCTGCGGAGCACATAATTTAAAAACACAAAAACACACATATATTCTGCTGTTGTCTCTGAGAGGATGACAGCTGCTCTAATGGGGAATGTTACCTAAATAGTGCTAGCAGCCACTAAAGACCCTTACATAGGTTTTTCAATATTGAAAACATTTTTAAGTTGTTCTGATGTCTTATTATTGAAGCAACATTGTTTGTTTTCACATATAAATAAGCACCTGACGTATTTATTTTTATGCTTGTGTATTTAAGCATGTAATATGTCTACCATGTCATGTCTGGCACACTCACCTCTGCATGATGTTCCTCATTCTGCTGGAGCACCTCTATGACCAGCTCGGCCAGACGGAGCGTGTCCTCAAGTTTTTTGGCAGGTGTGACTAAGCGTCCTACATTTTCTGAGGCACAAAGGTACAACAGTTAATATGAACATACAGACACACACACACACAGAAAACACTGGACTTTCCTCAGCCTGTCTGATGCCCAAACTAAATTGAATTTCACTGCATGCGATTTTTAAACTGAAAAAAAAAAACATCTTACGTTTTAACAGTGACTTAAAAAAAGTAGTTAATTTAAATCCTTTTCCAAAGAATGTCACTTCATAAGCATATCTGCTATGAAGACAAAAACTTTATCTGACAATTAAATTTACAGAGCAGGTAAGAGATGGGTAAAGTTCAGGATTGCGTCTAAATTTTCATTTGAATTTCAGAAATGTTCCCTCTGGAGAGAAAAAAAACTGACTTAATGAACCACAAATTAGCTGCTGCATATATCAACTCTGCTGTCTTAGTTAACAACTTAGCATAATCTTGACACTCTGTCAACACTGAGCTCTGTAGACATGAACCATAATGAGTCAATAAAGAGCAATGCAAGTATAATGAGTCAAACCAAGGAACTGAGGAAAAAGGAAGGATAAAAACAACAACAAATATGTTATAGTTATCATGCATAATGTTCAGCACATGCAAGCATTTATGTCATCTCCTTTCCTACCTCTCTCTGTCAATACAAGCGGGCAGCACATCTCTCTTAAACATGTCATACTTAAATGTACCCTTCATTGTCTATCTCATCTGTCATTTTATGAAACAGAGAATGACAGGAGTACATTTTAAATAACAGAGAATGAAATTAAAGAAATCATATACCAGTTTACTACGAACTGTTGTGAAAATGGATATATGGTCAGAGGTCTTTAGCATCATGAATACACACAACACGAGGCGAACAGTTCATTACTGTTGGTTAAGGATGGGATTGCAAAGTAAAGAGACATTTATGAGACCATGGTGTATGGATAGATGTTTTTATAGCTCATAACGCTTCAATATTGGCTGAGAGAGTGTTTTTATGTGATGATTTAGATGACCTAGCTGATTTTTGATTGTGCATTCTTCTGTTGGTTTGGAACAAAGATTTGTTTGTGCTGTCAGTTTTTCAGGTCTTTTTTTTTGACTGTGGTAAATGTGGCACTTTGATGGAGGAACACAAAGACAGAGGAACTAGGAAGTGAAGTCATTTGCTGTGTGACAAATGTCAAAACAATTAACATCATTTTGAAGAGTCACACCCCCCTCTCAGTCAACAGTGCTTTCATCACTAAACACAAAGCACACGCCCCCTAAATGTGAATTAACCCTCTGACCTTTCCTCTAATTGTATCTCAATCCTCTTCAGCTCCTTCCATATTTAAAAAATAAAATAAAATAATAATATTTGTGGCATTTCAAAGGGTTAATGTCCATACTGGGACGAAATGGCATGTACTAATGCAAAATCAGGTACTTCAATAGCAATGGACAGAATGTTCCATTAGCATTTTGACATTTGAATTATTTTTTAAAAGTATCAAAAAGACTGGTTTAGAAATTTTGAAATACCTGATTTCCCTAATTCAAGATAAATAAAGGGTTTCTAAACCAATCCATGACATATAATGTAATTTGAAGATTAAATATACATATTTTTCAGATATTTTTGTAAAGGTGTCAGAAACCATCACACTCTGTCACCATATTTACTCCAATGGAAAATTAGCAATATGATGTGAACTGAAAAAAACTGCATTTAACAGTGCATCAGTATTGCTATTTGACCCATTAGAGATTTTTCTGTAACACGTTACACAAATGCTCAATTTGTTAACACTAGCCTAGTATTATAAACAAGCAATGAACTTTTATTTTTTTATTTTTTACAACATTTATTAATCCGGGTTAATGCTAATTTATGAAATATGAATTATGAAATAATAATGTTATAAAACAACATTACTTAATGTTCTTTGAGCAAACATGAATAATGAAAATTGTATTGTGTAGTAGTATATATTTATATACAATATATACTTTTAATTGATAATAAATATATTAATCTAACCTAGATTAATAAATGTTGGGAAAAAGGTATTCATTGTAAGTTTATGTAATATCTAATGCATTAATGGACAGATAATGGATAATGTTAAAGAACTTAATCTTAAAGTAAAGTGTTACTATAATCACGCACTTGGTGCAGAGAGAGTATCACTTTAATTGTAATTAACACAGGCAAACAATCTGCTATTTTTTATTTATTTATCTGCTAATTTTTATTTATCCAATCTGCTACTTTTTATTTATTTATTCATTTAGAATGAAAGAAATACTCGCTCTGCATGTTCCATAGACTGGTAACACATACACACAGCTCTTACCGGCTCATGGAAAATGCATCTTCATTTAGATGCAATGTATAAACTGTAGCCAACATTGGCATAACATTGTCACAACATTCCCATGTTTACCTTTACGTCTGCTAATCGTGACATGCGAATGCTGTGAGTTGGCTATGTTTAGAGCTAGGGAGAGGGTGGGGGTCTGTTTTAAAATGAATTTAATAGTAGGTCAGACAAAAGATGTCACCTGGATCCCTCTGATCCTTCTGAGATTTTTCTACTAAAAAGAAAGAAAAAGAAGAAAGGAAGAGGGAAAGGAGGAAAGAAAAAGAAAGAGAAAAGGAAGAAGGGGTCAGCTTTCGTTTTGTTTTAAGATGTTAGATCTGATGGGGAAATAGAAGGAGAAGGAAAGAAGAAGAAAGAAAGAGGCATTCAAGAACAGGACTGTCTAACAGTGAAAGACCCGCGAACGATTGTGTGAAAGAAACTCTACCGGAGTGGTTGTTTTAGGTTGAAAAACAAACCTTTTTTAAACAGGGGTGTAAAAGTAAAACATACTTGAGTGAACATAAAAAAGGTTTCTACATTTTATCAGAGTTTAGTATTAAAAAGTAAAAAGTGATGGAACTTTAAATTTCGCAGCAGTTGTTTGCACAGTGATCACTAGCTAATAAAATGCATTAATTAACAATTAATAATTGCTTGAAAGGCTATTTTGTGTTGATCTCTTCAAAAACAAGAATAACCACATTAACAAATGAATTCTGTTGGCTATTTTTAAATTAAATTAAAAAAGTTACATTACCATTTAAAAGTGACATCAAAGAATTTTACATTGTTCAAAAAATGTGTACTTTCTACTTTTTACCATTTTGTTTCGATCTTCAGAGTATAAAGCATTTTTTTTCTAAAAAAATTCAGTATAAATAAAGTACTTTAATAAAGTATAAATTCCTGTGTAGTAATAAAGTACAATTACTCAAGTACTTTACACCCCTGCTGTACACCAGAAACCCGTCTGAAACCAAGTTGGACCCAAGACAGAAACAATAAACCAAACAGACAGAAAAACAGTGAAGATGCACAGTGATAAGCTGTTGGAGTGGATAACAAAAACATAAAGCGCACAAGGTTGAAAACATGATTAAAAACACAATGACTCCGAAAACGGCGTCAGAATCCCTGATTTGCTCATGGGTTGGAGATGATTTGAATAATTTTTTTTCCACCCTGTACCTGACCTGTACTGTAAACCTGGGACACGTCGATAACAGGACAATGGCTGGGAGGAGTGACTTACACAAAAGCAAAGTAAAAATGCATTCAAGTCACAAACAGAAAGAATATGCAAAAAACAGAAAGAACAGCTGCCACACTGACCCAGCTGGACAGGATGACAGGAAGACCTGTGGCTGAATCACTCAACCTAAGATCCAAGTGATAAACTCAAAGAAAAAGGTAAGCAGACTGGAAGCAAGAGAAGAGGATGGTGCCGGTCAGGGTGTGAGGGAATAACTATTTGTGAAAGTGCTTGAGAACAAAAAAATGCAAAAAGAAATAAAAGAGGGGTGGCGGAAGTGATGGAGTGGCTCCAGATGAGCAGTGTACTCACGAATGGTTAAATCCATCACTTGTGATGCCAAACAGAAGACAGGATGCTCATACATTTCTCTCTTTTTCCCTATAAAAAAGGATCAGTGCATGCAAGAGCAAGGGGTCAGAGGAGAAAGAGAGAGAAAGAAGCACAAAGGCTACATGTGCAATAAGGGGCATTTGACCAAATTTAGTTGCATGCAAAGTTGCCTGGCAGGGTTGGCAAAATGCTTACTAACTGATCTACTGCGTCTCTTTGGAAGAATTCGACAGCAGGATCACATAAGGACAAAATTATTAGTGATCAGTCAGTCCTGATATGATCTATAGATCAGCATGCATGAAGCTAGAGAAAAAAATTTCAACTCAAATATGCACAAAGCCTTAAAATGAAATTAAAAAAAGCATCTTTATAAACTCCCTCAAATCGAGTCTTAAACATATCATTGTAACAATTTGCCACTAATGATTATTTGGAAGGTAGGTTATTCATTTTTATTCAGAAATACAGTACCGGTCAAAAGTTTGGAATAATAAAGATATTTTATGTTTTTAAAAGAAGTCTCTTATTCTCACCAAGGCTCCATTTATGATTTTGATCAAAAATATAGTAAAGAAAGTAATATTGTGAAATATTCTAATTTAAAATAACTGCTTTCTATTTGAATATATTTTAAAATGTAATTTATTCCTGTGATGGCAAAGCTGAATTTTCAGTAGTCATTACTCCAGTCTTCAGTGTCACATTATCCTTCAGAAAACATTCTAATGTTCTTATTTGGTGCTCAATTATTAATAATGGTTCTTGTTATTATCAATGTTGACAAGAGTTTTTGCTGCTTAATATTTTTGTGAAAACCATGATATTATTTTTCCAGGATTCTTGGATGAATAGAAAGTTCAAATGAACAGCATACATTTGACAGCAATCTTTTGTAACATATTAAATGTCTGATCAATTTAATGTGTCCTTACTGAATAAAAGTATTTTATTTTTATTTATTTATTTTACTTTTTAATACGAGACTTGTTTAAAAAAATGTTTAAAACTCATAATTATTCCAAACTTTTGACCGGTGGTGCATGAACTATTTCCAGAATGACAAAAAATTGCACTGGACTAACTGTAAATAATTTTGGGGCAAAAATAATTATTTGCAAATACTTTTGTAACTTTAGACTTGTAGATTTTAGCTATTCTGTTTATTTCTACCATTATCCTTAATCCAGCTGAAAGTTTTAGTCTCTAGAAAGACTTGTGAGTGTGTTGAAAACTATTGGTTAGTTTGGGTTAGTACAAAAGTCACATTCAGTTTAGTGGTCAGCAATCAATAGGGAACAACACAGACATCATTTGGCAATCAGATTCTACGTGGGCGGTTTGGGGGGGGGTATTAAAAAAAGTACATTTCAGACAAAATAAAAACACTTGTCCTATAAACATGGCTACTATTTGACATCAAAGATCACCTGTGTGTAAGTCACAGTTTAGCTGTCCATGTCTATAAAAGAAACCGTCTCACTTGCAACACACAAATGTGTGTTGCTTGAGTGGGCAATCCAGCTTTGCACTGTATACTGGCTTCTCAAACTGGCTCAACAAGAGAGGGCTCCAAATAAGAAGAAAAGCCAATAAACAAGAGGAAAGCGCAGAGGGAGGGAGCAGAGAGAGAGAGAGAGAGAGAGAGAGAGAGAAAGAAATAGAAAGAGACAGAAAGAGGAAAAAAGACACAAAGAAAGCTAGTAAAAAGGCAGAAATTCTGCAATAAACATATGAAGCAGGGGAGCTGGAAAGGTGATGAAGAGCTGGAAAGGAAAAGTGTATTTGTTGCTGTACAGTACTGCTAGACCTAAAAGCTAAACCACAGGAAAGAGGCAAACATCCACACAGTGCAGCAAGAAACCATTGAGCAAAACAATATGGCACTGAGGCCAGGGTTTGAGAGAGGGAATTGAATGCATTTTTACTCTATAATCTGCTACCACAAACTAAAACAAACCTGGACCAACAAGACCTAATCAAAAACATTTATATTATTATTATTATTATTATAAAGAAATTATTATATACTACAGGACAATTATCTTAAGTATCTTAGAAGACTAGTAGAAATAAGACAATATAAAAAAATCATTACACACACCAACAGTTAACTACTGCTCCATTGTTATCATTCCTTTTATGAAAAAAACAACCATCAGTGGCATTTCAACATTGCCTTCATGGAATACTGGTTAGTTGAGCATCACTGTTGTTAAGCAGTGTTTCTAAGAGAGGAATATGTCAAGTGCTATATTAATGAAGACTGCGCAGAGAGGAGAAGAAACTCTACAAAACCGGTATATGTGCCTCCTACCTTCCACCTTGGCATATTCTGAGAGACGCTGATAGTTCACTAATGCTGCCTGCTCCAGACATCTACGGATCACTGCCTTCACCTCGTCCTGAGGTACAGGTGTCACAATGTCCTTCATTAAAACCTGCAAAACCAAATTTGAAATCAGATACATACAGTACATATTTACGTCTGTTTGTAGGTCTTTATTACTTTGTGTCATACGCTTTTTCAATACATGCATATATTAAAAAACATATATAGAGATGATAGATAGATAGATAGATAGATAGATAGATAGATAGATATAGAACAGAAACAGAAACAGAAATAGAAAATTAAAATGACACCACACCCTCTCAAGCAGTGACAACGTGGCTTTTAAGGCTCCTTCTGGGCGTCCAAATGGAAAACAATACCTTCAGAGAGAACATTTTAAGGAACAGTGTTTATAACAGCTTTGAAACATCAAGAAATGATACATTATGCATTCCTATTTCAATTTGTTAGAAAAAAAAAAGAAAAGAAAAAGAATATCCTGTTTCATCATTACATCCAGTAATCACACAATCAGTTTCATGCAACATTTACATGTACATTGGATTTAGCAGTTTCACACACTTTGAAAAAGCAAAGAAAGTAATACCTATACCACATATACCATTATTATCTCTAGCTGTTAATAAGGTGGCATATTTGATGCTGTGTAGACTGACAGTGATGTACCTGAAGTGTGTGATCTGGTTTTCGAGCAGCACGCGGAGTCGTTCTTTGATCTCCTCAAACCGTTCCTTCTCTTCTACTGTGACAGTACCGATTCCATCAGGCCTGAGGTAAAAAACACACAAACACACAAATGAATGCAACTGCTTGTCTCATTAGGCTAACAAGGGTCACAGACACAAACACGTGTCTCATGAAACAAACAGACCAGACACATGGATATTATACAAGCACTATAAATTATTTTCCATTTATGCTCTTTAGAAGGTATGTGTTGATGAGAGATTCAGACAAACTGCTCAACTTTTTAATTAACCACATAGATTGTTAAAGAAAAAGAGAAAAAAAGAAAAAATAGCGAATATAAGACTACTTTTATCTTCTGAAAGAGCGTGTATGTGTATATATGCTCATATGTGTAAATGCTCTGGGGCGAAATCACTTTTGCAAGCATTTTTAAGCAAAAATCTTATGTGAATTAAGTCATAGTTATTGCTACTTGCCTGGTGCAATTAATGTGACATTTTTGTCGACCACAGAAAAAAAAAGATTTAAAAGAGACATTTGAAAGACACATTTTTTTCTAGTGATATTTGCCCAAAGTCATTCAGCAAGATGTGCAACCGTGCTGTGCATTATGAACTAGATGCCCAAACAACGTATATTGCGCAAATAAACCATGCTTTCAGCAGGTTCCATTCCTAGTTGGTGTGTCTAAATGTGTACCTATCTATGTGTGTGTGTGTGTGTGTGCGTGTG